CCTAGATAAAAACTTTATAGGAAAGACCCCCCTTAAAATTCACCAAAAAATAAGAGGTTTCATTTTTGGTCACCATTTGTGAATCACCCTGCATATTGAAGCGTATGGTATCCTTATTGACATCTGTTTACAAGCATATTAGCACTGACAATTATAATTTTTAAAGATAACCAGACAAAAAATCAAGTAATTTTAGATCTGGAGACATACTTGACTATACAGCAGTATCTTATTGGACTGAGAGTATGTTAATTAGATTCGTTTGAACCTCTTTTTTACAGAAATTAAAGTCCTAATGGTTCTAAAAATAAATCTTTAAAGGAGAAGAACAATTTTCTGAACTTTACAGTACTTTTAATTAAATTATTACTAAAAATTCATATACGGCTCTTTTCTTTAATATAAACGTTAAATTCAATACAAAAGGATTTAATTATTTTTAATAACAGAAATATTTCGGACTCATTTCACTTGAATAATTAAGAAAATTTTAAGGACAATGTTTCGCAACCTACGTAAATTCTAAGTGAACGAAATGAATGAAACAAAAATATAACAAAATATAAATAGAAATACTTTTGTTCTAAATATCTACCAGTTACCGGATTGTTCTGGAACGTGATAGAGATAAACCTAGATATAAATCTTAAAAACAGATAGAAGCACTTCATATAAGCTGAATTAAAATATAGATATTTCTGGCAAATGTATGGTAATCTGATACTATACGTCAGGATGAAAATATATTTTTTTAGATAATGCTGCATATGTAGGTTCAACATTTCATTGAACCGAAAAAGTTTTTTATATTTTCCCATTTCAGTCTGTCCTCCAGTCTTTTTAAAAGTAGACAGCAGGAGGTCTCGAAAAGAAAAACATGATTTAAAACCATTGTGTTCGTAAATTATTTTTTTTCGCCAAATAAATTATTTTTATGAAATCTTTTGGTTCATTATCTTTAGTACAATCTGTACTATTGTGCATTTTCCCGTCATAGAAAATAAATTAAAGTGAAAATAACCTACTACAGAATAGCTTATGTTAAAAATATTTATTTAAAATACAACTTCAACAAAATTAAGAATTGAGTATAATGATAATGGGAAGTGAAACTAAAATCTTTTTAGTAGATAGATAATAAAAAAATTGTTTGAGGAGCAACGTTCTTTATTACGAGTAAGAAAAGTATGGAACAAATTCAATATTCCCGTAGCGAAGAAATTTATCGGGTATGCTGATTTTGCATTTTAGAAAAGCGCTTTTTTATGTACCCCTACCAATTTCAAGTTGGATAACGTCATAAGATCTTTTAAAAAACAGAATTATGATTTTAAACCAGATTCTTGTAGAGCATAACTTCTTGAATTTAGCAACGTATTCAACTTTCAGAGAAAAAAAAGTAAAAAATGATTTGTGTATCGCTCCATTTGTCTCTGAAGTGAGCTGGTTTGAGTTAATTCAGTATAAGTAAGTAATTGGTTATCTGTGTTATGTAGTGAAATAAGACTAACAACTCCAGTAATATTGGGTAACGTAAAGCAAGAATTATTAAATTAATTAGGTAGTTTACTTTGTTAAATTTTTAAAAAGATGAACTTTTTATTACGATCAACCTGATGAATTTATTAATTTAATTAAATATTTACTTGAAAAAGAAATAACAATTTTTATATTTTCCTATAATTTTATATAATGTTGCATCAACCCATTATGTAGTATAGTTCCTATTCTAATTATAAATTGTTCTTTGCATGTTCAGATATTGTTTTCGTAGGTTTAAATTATTTGTACAATAAAAAGTGCTTTATGTAATTTATACGTTTGATATTGTCCGTTAATTTATCAGGAGAGCATTATATTTTCTCTCGCGATACCAGCAAAACGTCTTTTGCAAATAAATTGTAGTTCTATGAAAAGTATTTTATTTAATTCAAAAGTGTCGTTGCAATAAGTACAAATAAAAGTAACGACAGAATATTTAAAATTAATAAAATCTCTTAAAATACAGGGTGATTCACAACTTATCCAAAAAAATTTGGGAATAGATGCGGCATGAGAAATTCAGTCAATATTGTAAAAAAAATTTTTGTAAAATCCTTATAGTTTCTGAGAAAAAAATTATTGAAGTTATAGCACATTAAACCACTACATGCCTGGACAACTGTAGTCTCTAGCGTCATTCGCAATACGCGTGGAGAGCCATGTGACTCCTAATACTGAAATCCGTCGTTGCGGTAGTTTTTACCTGTTATCTGTGTTATTTACATCAGGTTTTTAGTAGTTAGTGTCAAAAATGGCTTGCGTGTATAGCAACTCAGAGTTGATGGATATCGTTTTAATTTATGGTGAAGCAAGACAACATTTGTATTATGGTGAAGTATTTGTGTTATGGTGAAGCAAGATATCATTTGTGTTAGTTCGTAGAAAGTGAGTAAGACGGACCCAAATGTGTTTACACGTGAGTGGATAAAATTTTGAACAATTGCTGTTGCAGCATCGGGTATGTCAAATAATTTTATTATTTAAAAACACAAATTAATTTTATTAATAATTAATAAAGGCAAAAGCATTTGAATTTGCCGATATAAAATAGGTGCGATAAAATTCTATTTACATATTTCTTTCCTTGCGAAAGTTTTTGTCCGTTTTTATCACGCCGCCATACCGGTCGCATTGTGCGAGGTCAGGTTTTACAGTGGACCAGTTTCCAGTGCCGTGCAGAAGTGTATTTTTAAATCAATTTCGAACT